TTGCACAGATGTAAGCTTTTAAGTAAACGCTTAAAAATAAGTCAATATGGCATCAAAGAACAAAAAAAATCTTATGCTTGTGAATGAGTGGGAGTGCAGAGTGGGGACCCAAAGCCCATCTGTGGCAACTGGACATCTCCTTACAGAAGGGTCACGGGGAGGAGATGAGCCAGTCAGGGTTCAGTATAGCAATAATGAAACACAACTTTCCTCTAGTTCTTTAATGCTTCCCCCACCATCATGATCCCAATTCTACCTTACATATCTGGCTAGACCAGAGAATGTACACTGGTACAGATAAGAGCTGGAAACACAGGGAATCCAGGATAGATGAACCCCGCAGGACCAATAATGAGAGAAGAGATATCAGGAGGGTAACCAGGAAGGTGGGGTAGAAAAGGGGAACTGATCACAAAGATCTACATATAACCCCCTCCCTCGGGGGATGGACAACAGAAAAGTGGGTGAAGGGAGACGTCGGATAGTGTAAGATATGACAAAATAATAATAATTTATAAATTATCAAGGGTTCATAAGGGAGAGGGGGCAGGGAAGGAGGGGGAAAAATGAGCTGATACCAAGGGCTCAAGTAGAAAGCAAATGTTTTGAGAATAATAATGGCAACAAATGTACAAATGTGCTTGACACAATGGATGGATGTATGGCTTGTGATAAGAGTTATAAGAGCCCCCAATGAAATGATTTAAAAAAAGGGGGGAAAAAGTCAATATGAATTTCAATTACAACTGTTGTTAATATGCTTCCTCATGGCCATAAAATAAAAGCAGAATGTAAAAAATTCTCAGAAATAAAGCCTTCTTAGGTTAAGCTTCTTGCTACTTCTTAACAATTTCTAGAGAGATTCAGCACAAAATCTATAGTTGGGATACAAATTCTCAACGATGTCAAAAAAATTTTTTTTTATCATGACAATTTCTTCTTAGACTTTGACAAAAAAAAAAGTTTCTAGCATCCAAGAATTTAATTCTGGCTGCAAAACTCCTATTTCAGTATTATTTCTCTCTGCAGGCATGAATATCTATTTCTTAATGTTCTGTATCTTCAAGATCTTAGCTGTTCAAAAAAGCGTATGTCCGATATTTATGTGCCAGGCAGAAGGTTTAAGTCAAACAGCTGGCATCTATATACATATATACTAAATAGTAATATGTTTTATTTAAATCAAATCTTATTTGGAGAATTCATTAAAAAAAAAAGTGGGTCTGGTGCTTGATATCAACCTTCAAATAATTGAGAGTTTCCAGTGTCGTGGTCCTGATATCTCTAAATCTTAAACCTCTGAGTATAAAGCTTTGTGCTCTACCTACAGTTAGTTGTTATTTCCCCAACTCTTCAATGGTGTAAAATATGTTTTGACATGACATTCCAGTTGAAAATTGAATCTAATGTTATGTAATTCTCTGATAAATTTTCTGTATGTATAAAGAATAATTTTATTTTATAGATAATGATATATTTTGTGCTTTACAACACTAGTATAGTCTTCAGATATAACATTTGAATTGTATTATTTTTTTCTTTCTATAATACAGTTCAACTCTTTATTGTTTATAAGAGTCTTATTTGAATAACTACATGTTGTTTTCATACAAACCTGTCTTTTGGAAAAAGAATAAATGTTTCTCGTTAGTTGTATGTATTAATGGAAACACGTTCACAAGGCCTTATCCACAAAGACGTCTCTTTCTTTCCTATCAGGAAGTTGTGCCACATTCAAAATAAACTGTTCAAAGTTGAAATTTTATCTTAAATAGTATCCTATTTAACTCAAATAATATTTACAAAGCAGTATGTATGAACTTCAAACAGAATTTGACAGATTTAAGTTCTCTGTCAAATGTGTCTATATGATTTAATGATAAAAGGTTAAATATTCTAAAAAGTATGAAATAAACAATTTTATTAGATGAACTGATTTATTTGAAACCTTAGATTAGGCCAACAAAATATATTCAACTGCATAAAAAGAATCACATTTCCATTCAACTTGAACATAACACAGCAGTGGTGAGAAATAATAAACTGTGGAATGGATCTCAGAATATAAGGCAGAAACCCCCATACAGAGAACCGTCAGGCTTCTAACTTCACAGAGTCCAGTACTAAACGCGCCTCTTTAAATTCTTCAGCTTCTTCCAGGTCTTTTTCACTTTCCTGCAATGAAATATAATAAAAAGTAAGTGTACGCCTCTCAAACTGCAGTAATTGGTTATTTACTCAAATATTACAAATCAATGTAAATAGCTCAAGAATTAAAGCGGAGTCTTATCTTAATATAATACTGCAGGTTTCCTATAGTTATGTTCCTCTTTACAGGTAAAGGAAAAGCTGTCAGATTGGTTTTATTTCTTAAAAACAGTACATTCTCATACAATATTGCATAGCATGATCATCTAAACTATCAACATCAAATAAAGGCATTAAAATTTACATTATTTTTACTCTCATTTTGTCAACACACCATCATATATAAGAAAATATGAATATGGGACTGAAAGTACAAATCTTATTATTTACATGTTACCTTTATAACATTCATGCCAAACAACCCTCTACTCACTCAGTGACTGGTATCACACCAGAGTTACTGGTATCACACCAGAGTTAAGTATTGGAGAGGTGAATGTCTGTTAGTATTACAGTACACACTCGAGTATAAGCCGAATTTTCCAGCACATTTTTAATGCAGTTTTGGTGGTACAATTCGGTGCCAAGGCTGATATTCGGGTTGGCTTATACTTGAGTATATATGGTATATACTCAACTTACAAGAAAACTCTCTTTTACTAATATAGTACAATGTGACAGACAATTGAGACTGCATATAAACCACAATTTTGCTTGCTTTTCATATAGGGTTACTGTCAGAGCTATATGTCAGGGTCAATAAAAGACAAGAGTTATATAAACCGTTACCAGAGCAGGAGGAATCAAGAGTGGGTCGATGTGTGTAGAAAAAAATGAAAATTCAGCAAAAGGACTGAGAATCTGTTTAATTCAGACTATAGATAAGCATTTCTTAAAACCTTGTATTATAACTAAACATCTTTGTTCTCCCCATCAGTAAAATATAAGCATTTTGAGGGTAGAGATATTGTTGAAAATAATCTTTCATATAAATATATCACATATACAAGGATGATATAATTTTCTTTCAAGTAATTTCTTAGCTACTAAATACATGAGAGCAGGAAAACATTTAAAACGTCAGGAAATAAAAACCGTGCTTCCTGTCTCAGGTGTTATTTTCATATAATCATTATTTCCTGTTTTAGCTATTATTTATTTGAAATCCATACCTTCTTTTCTGGCTGCCAAGAAGAGTTACCTGCCTATAAAAGGTTCCTATAGAGCAGTGGTTCTCAACCTTCCTAATGCCCTTTCATACAGTTCTTCATGTTGTGGTAACCCCACCCCCCAACCATAAAATTATTTTCGTTGCTATTTCATAACTGTAATTTTGTTAACTGTTATGAATCGGGCGAATGCCAAAGGGGTCGCGACCCACAGGTTGAAAACCACTGTTATAGAAGAATATGGAGTTTTGTGTCAGTTACTATGAAATATTAATATTTTTGTTGCTATATAGATTTAATTCTAATGTTAGTGGGAAAACAAATTTGATTTTCTTTCAACAAATACACATGATCATACTGAAAAAGCCTCACATCATTTTGTAACAGGGAAACCAAAAGAGAGCTACGTAGCTAAGAACTGATATTAGCTCAAGAAATAAAAATACAAACTAAGACTAGTAAAGTAGATGTTACAATTCATGAGACTATCTGCAAAGAATAACTGCTAAATCACTGTGTATGCATGGTATCGTAGTATGCTTTTATCATTATTAAGAAATAAATGATAACTTTTAATTAATCCTAGTCATTTAGAAAATGGTCTGCTACAATACAAGGCAAGTCAGTAAAATAACACTTGATCAAGCTCCATGTGAATGAGGGGATTGTCTTTACTGCACTCCCTCCCACATTCCCCCAATTGATTTAGGCTTGAATCAGAATGAATTCCACATGTTTTTTAGAAGAGCCCAAATTCATTTGGAACACACATGAATCTTTTAAAAAGTCCAACACTGTTAATGTGTCAAAAATGGTATTTATGCAACTAAGTGTACGAGAAGAGCACAAAAACATGCTAGAAAACAGTATTTTTTAGTTGGAGGCAAAACTCAAAGCACAATTTAAATTCCATTAATTATTTTAAAATATACTGTATACAGGGCAAGTGTACTAAAATTGCCATCAGTTTGTTAAATATTGAAATTTTTGGCTTTCAAATTAGGAGAGGAAAAAAATAAAACAAAACCACATCTAAAATACATTAAGACAAAGCCACTTTTACTTACCAATAACTGCAGAAGATCGGCATATGCAGCTTCCAACCTTCGCTGGCAATCTGGGATCATCATCCGGGACTCTTGCAAGATCTCTGCCTATTAACGAGAATCATTTGTGAGACACAGAGAGCTGGCAGAACTTATGTTTAGTTCACATCTCTGTAAATATCTACAAATGATTTAGAGGAATCAGAAAAAAAGTTATGGCTAAAATCCTGATGCCAAATGGGTCTATATTTAAATTAAAATTGTGTGTAGTCTCAAAGTTAGAAAGGCATGCAGTAACACCTAGACAGTACAAGTTCTAGAACTGAGCCTTTTTGGTAATCACCTTCTTATGCTAAGTGAGAATTAACTGGAAAAGCTTTTCATAGAGAACATTCATTTTAAAAGGCTATTTAAAATAAACTATTCCCCTGCTGTCACAAAGCACCTTCATCCAAAATGGGATCAGCTGGTTGTAAAAGTATCTCCTGCATCTTTTGAGTAATAAAGAAAAACAGTGTTCAGATAATATCACATGGAGATAATTACTGCATGAAAAAAGTTATTGAGTTATTGATCACATCGTGTGCACACTGCAGGAGATTCTCACTGAAGACAGAGGTAAAGAAAAATGAAAAGCAAAGACCAGCAGGTTCATATTTTTGATGCTTATCATGCATAAAAAGTTATTACTTATCTTTGTGCTTCATTTTAGGAGAGAGATTATTCTCCCCATGCAGTTTGAGCCAAATTACCAACCTGGCACCCCTGTGAATCTGAATTGCTTGCTTATTCTCCTAAAGACAGACTCTACAGAATTAAGAACAGGAATATTTATTCTGGATGCTATCTCTGGACTCAAAAGCTATCATTTAAAGCTGGACTATAACATATCAAACCATTCTGAATAAAACCAATCAATGACTGGGGAGTCCAATCAATCGAGGGTAAATGAGCTGGTGTCAGATACTAGATCTCAAG